TTTCAGTCTGGCTCCAGAGTAAGCCCTCTTAGCGTAACTCCATACTACCTCTTACAGATCTTACTCTTTACTTCTGAAAATACTGTGTAGTCTTTAGGTCTGTTGAAATTAACCTTCCTGCCTTACTTTTTCCAGCCCAGACATTGATCTTTCTATTTTATAAGTTCCTACTCTATACAGCTGTACTCCTTCAGTTGTTTCATATTTGTCTGATATGATGTCCACACAAGAGTGTAGACGTTTTAATGCAAGAATTGTGTTTTGTACTTTATTGCATGCCCGTGATAGCTTGTTCCACTGGACTATGGCTGCAGAAGGAGAAACTGTCTCCCTTACCCTCTTCTCAGACCACAGTCACACACTGGTCCTGCCCCCTGTTTCTGGAGACCATGAGGGTATGATCCCTTGGCCTATTCCTTGCTTGGGCACATAGAGCTGTCCTGGCTTCTCCATTATCTTTCTCTGTTTTCAGCCTTCTTCTTAGTGAGTTACCACCTAAACAATGGCTTGGAAGAGATGAAAAAGATGGTTTTACTAACATGGACAAGGTTGCTTTCTTCCTGCATTTCTTTGCCTGTTTCTAGTCACCTTGCATGTGGACTTATTTCCCTCAAAGGTGGGAATGGAGGTAGTTTTGATTTGTTTCAGCACAGCTGTTTTTAAGTATAAGGAGGAGGTGGAAGTGAAGACGTAGAAGACGAGATGGACCTTATTATTATTAGTTTTGCAAAGAAGCACCAAACTTAGCACTTATATCTGGGATAGTTGTAATATTTTTTCCCTCAAGGATGCTGAAAATACACTGGTGTTGGTGGAGGAGAATATTATAACCTGTGAAAAAAATATACTTTCCTTTGTTACACCAACAAAAACTATAATTTTGGAGAAATGTTAAGGATAAGGGAAAAATGCTCATGATACAATATTATATGAAAAAAGTAAATTTCATGGCAATATAAATGATCATAATTTTGTATCTATGTGTCTGGAAGAAACTATACCAAATATGAATTATGAATTTTCTTTGAAAGGTGGGATTCAGAGCATTTTTAATTTTCTTAATCTCTTTCATATTTTCCAAATTTCTTCATTAAATCTGTATTTTCTGATTCTAAAAATTAAAAAAATAAAAATTGTTCCTTATTAGGGAACTGCCCTGGTACT